AAATTTTGAAAGAGATGAAGAGAAATTGAGACGAAGACAAGAACTGGGTGAGCGTCCGTGCAAGAAAGAAACTTGAAATTCCTTGCTATGACAAAACAAAATCATCATCAGCAAAAGAAAAAATCAAAAGGGAAAATAAAACAAAAACTGCCCCATAGGCCATAGCAAATTGTCTTTGAGAAAATGAAACCTAAACAAGAACCAAAAACGGAAGGGTGATGAACTTAATTGACCCCAATAATCAAATCTCAAAACCTCTCAAAAAATTAAACAAAAACCATAAAGATATAAAACACAAAAACAAGGCAACCAAAAAAAAAAAAATTTAAGGCGGCAAACCAGGCAATCGAAAAGTACCTATACATGTAGATATCACGGCCAGGAACAAGGCGACGCCTGCAAAGACCGCAAGCCCTTAGGAAATGGGCGGTTTCTATAAAATCAACCGAATGCCTTCTATGAGCTCTAGGTGACACCGTCGCCAACAACCGGTGATCGAACCCTTCAAGGCCACTACCACCACCACCATTAGCCTGAATCTGTGGACCCCAAACACCACTAAAAGGGCCAGCAGCCTGCTTTGGGTAGTTGTTAAAAGGGTTTTGTCGATCCGACGGTGGAGCTTCAGCGTTGCTTGTGTTTAGATCAAAAGTGATCTCCGTCATGCTTGTCGTTCTCTTCATTGGTGGCCTTGGCCTCTTCCCTAGCATCATCTTCGTTATCTTCTTCTTCTTTCTCTGTTTTTACTTTGTGGATACTCTTCCAACGTCTCCGGGGGAAACCTTGAGAGAGCTAAGAAGGAGAGAGAGGGGAGAGGGAACTGAAGAAGAAGTGGAGATGGGGCAGATAAAAGAAGAGCCAGAAACCGAGGAATGAATCTAAGCCGTTCATTCATTATACTATAATTTTTTCCTCCAGTTTAGGGTATTTACATCACATCAACGGAAATCCACGTCATACTACAGTACATTTAATACGTATTTAATTGTCTTTGGGGGTAAATGGTATTCTTAGCTTAGTATGCTCTAATTCCCCAATGACCGCAGTCAATTTCTTTGAGTTTTAACCGCCAATAATTTGTTCACACATCAACATGAGGTTTTAATTTTTTTTTATTTTCTTATTTGGGTAGAGAGAGCTTTTGGAGCCCTCCTCAATTCAGCAAGTCATCATGTCAGCTGTCCTGACATGAAATAATTTATTGCAGCAATGTTGGAGGAAAACTTGTATAAGGAAAGTAATAATTAAATGTCCAAATTAGAAAGCAAACTCACTTTGAGAAAATTATTTTATTTTCTTAGCAAAATCTAAATATTTAAAGATATGATAAAAACATAATCAATTAACTTAATTTGTAGAAGGAGTTGATACATTATTATTCACTTCCAACTCCAAACTCTGTCTTTTCCACTTTTAACTTCTCCCAACTTTTTAAAGGGCAGTTCTTTCATGAAAGTAGGATGGAAGAAGAGCTCAATACTGTGTATCCTAATAATGAGACATGAAATCCTCACAGTACTAAAGACATAAATGTATCACAGGAAGCAAGGTCATCTGCACTGTGCCAGCTAAAGTCTAACAGAAGCTCCCCCTCCAAGTACTCTTCCTTGGAAAGGCCCATTTGTTACAACTTCCAAAAGCCAGATAGACTTGCTGCTGCCACAATAGTCCCCTCTCTGCTATCTGTATAGTGTGTCCACAGTCTAGAATTTATTTGAGGACCAGTGAAGTAAATTCTTAATAATTTTTTTTAGTATCGTGTTTTCACCTTTCCTTTTTCCCTTATGTACCTGGTTTGCATTACCCAAAAAAGGTTCTTTTGTTTTTTTTATTACCACTAGTAGTGTTTTAAGCATAAAATTTAACTATGTTCCCAATGTGGCACTTCACATTTGGTGAAAAATGCCTCTTGTGGGGATCATGTTGTTACAATTTCATGATTACAACCTTTTGATGTATTGTCTACATACATTTGAGTGTGATTAGATTTACCATTTCACGATCTAAGAGCCATTTTTGATTGTTCATAAATTTGAATGTCAGTCAGGTAGCATTTTTAGTATAAAGAATTGGCATTATATATGCTTTATTTTATGCTGTTCTTCCTTTTTGGTATTAAATGAGGGGTGAAAGGAAAAAATAAAAACAAGTGGTAGCAAATCATGGCACGTTTCAATTGGAACAATGTGCATTTTGTGTATATGGTGTGTGACAACTTGAGATAAAACAAAATCAGACAGGAATACAATTAGATGCCTCCTCCTTTATTCATTGAGGGAGAAAAAAGAGAGTGGGGAGTGGGGGGAAGGGGAAGAAAACCAGGAGAAAGTAGAAAAAAGCTACAGATTCTATATATATAAACAGTGAAAAACCTGAAATCCAGCTAGCTAAACCAGTTATTAATGGATCTCCCAAGTGATGAGTCCTTGTCCAGACCTTTGCTTGCACTGTGCATCAAAGATTTTGGAGGTCAGGCTGATCCCCGGCCCTAGGTGGGGGGGGAGGTGGGGTTCTGTCCACTTGCTGCTTGCCATAATGAGAAAAATATCAAGTGGTTAAATAATAATAATTTCCATGCACATGCAAAAGCTGCTTGTTAAATGTTAATGCCCTTGGAAATCCAAATTAAACCCTAGCTAGTGTATTATATGGAATGAAGTTTTATTATGGTAAAAGGTCATGGTTAAAAGCTAAAAAGGCAGTTGCCGTGACATATATCTGTGCAAGGCCAAGGTTTTATGACTTATCAGCATCCCTTAAATACTTCTATATTTGCATAATTTATGACCTTTAGTTAAAATTAATATAAATCTTTTGCTGAAGAATTAAGAAATCCCAACTGGGTATACAATTAGCTTACCTTGTATATGTAAGACGTTCAAACGGAGAGCTTAGTGGCCCCAAATGCATCATGAATTAGAGATTTTAACTTTAACATTCAGTTCCTTTTTGTCTTTACATTTGCAAATACTTAGAAGTAATGAGTAGTTCCTTAGAGTCAATGAAGTTTTGAAGAGAAAGAAAAATAATGCAACTGAATAAATAGAACTATACTAATGGCCACATAAAAATACTCTTAAAGCTCTAAAATTATTCTCTTTTAAACATTATAAAGGACAAATTAAGTGTCTCAACTCTTATGTTTCCATCTATTCCAAATGAATATCTGAAAATTTATTTCTCTAATTTCAAATTATAGAGTATAATGAATTGTTTATATGTACATGTGACATTAATAGGGAAAGAAATAAATAAAAAATTCTACTAATTCATATATTGTGAGAGCTTTAAGAAACTCACGTTGAATGACTTCGAAAAAGTTCTTCTTCTGAATTTGTGAGAGGTTTTAGAACCAAACAATAAGCAAATAATATTTTCCTGGGTTGAGTAGCTATGGGTTATATCATATACATGACTTTGGAATTTTTTACCATTTATTGGAAGAAGAAGAAGCAGAAGGAGAAGAAAAGCGTCAGTCGCACCATGATCACGTATAGAATTGGTTGAGAGTGCAACATTATTGCGGGTAAGAAAAATAAGGCTCGTCTTTTTGACTTATTATTTTACTGTCATAGCAACTAGCTAGGTGGGACAACCTGCAGTTTCTCATTGTTGTGCCTATTAATCAGCTACGAAAGCTTTTTTTTTTTTTAAATAAAGCTAGCAATATCAAAGCAAAGTCTAGGCCTATATTATGTTTGCTTCCTAGAGTAGCTTCTTAGGGAAAAATATCACACCTACCATGTTAGTTAGTATAGTTCGTGTGCATGGCTGCATGTGATCAATAACATAATCGTTATTGTAATATATGTCAAAGCTAGTACCGTAGTAGGATTACTTACTCTAATTATGTACAAGAAAAATATATCCTTATTAGACTTAATAATTAGACGGTATCTAAAATTATCCACAAAAGATTCATATATATATTTATACATTCTCCTCTTCCATTTGTACCTCATTATTTATTGCTTGATGGCTAAAAGTCTTTACTAAAAACTTTCTTGACTTCTAATATTGGAAGGGAAGATTATTTCACCCTTTTTTCTGCCGATCTTGAAGTTTAAGTGTAAGAGTTCTTGTCTAACTATGAAAAACTACTTCTAAAGCAAACCCTTTTTTGGGTTTATATGGTTATTCTTAATTATCTTATTATAGCACTAGTGCTTCTAAATGTGATGCAGATGCTCTTACAAGTACATGAGCAATTTGAGCTAATTAATTACAATTAATAAAAAATTGGGAAAGTAAATAGAAAAATATATTCTAATCAAAAGTACATAAAGTTGATTAAATATTACTAAAAAGATTTGAAGAGTTTAAGCAATATTATATATATAGTTGCATAAGCAAATATAATTAAAATATTTCCTTAGTGTATGTTTATATTAGTTGTCAACATGTAGAGATATGTAATGTTAATTATTCAGAATAGAATATTAAACTCTCAACAATATAAATTATATAATACTAATTAACAATCAACAAGGCAATATTTTATATTCAACCATATATAACTAGGTAAGCTATGCCAAAATATACATTACATATATATAATTATTGTAGTACCGAAACATTTAGCTTATTAATTGTTGTATAATCTCCTGCTTAAAGAATAAAGTTTTAATTTTCTTTTTTTTCAATTAAAAAAAAGTACATACACATATGGTATCGTATTCATACTGCTTCTAAGGTCGATCATGTGCAAGTGAGCTGATGAGCAAAGGAAATCAATAGACTTTACTCTCTGTTAGTATATTATTCTTACAGCATCCATGATAGTGACTAGAAATGCGTTCTTGAAGTGGAAAGTTGGGGATATGAGCAAGATCGATTATGAGATTTTGAGCAATCAAAATCTAAAGTTACATTTTTTTTTTCTTAAAGCATTTGGTTCTTTTAATGTGGAGAATATGCCAGAAAATAAGTAACAAAGAGAAGTGCATATTCTTATGGCACATATAACTTTTTATCTTAGAGGGGATATAACTGTTTTGCTTCAAGTGTGAGATTTTCCAGCACCTAGTTTTGAAGATGCAAATGGGTTGAGGGGATTGCAAGTGAAATATTTGCAAGATTGCACAAGATTTTGCTGGATATTTGGCTTCCAAAACACAGTTGAAATCTTTAATAGTTTTACTCTCTATTATAATCTGATGTATATGGAGTCTTTTCCACTCTCTCTTTCAAAAAACAAAAGATAACAAGATATTCTCAGCATTTGAAACGTAATAAGTTTTGGGGCATTGTTCTTTCTTTTAAAGTGAACCCACTTTTCTTCATGATAATGACGTAAGAAAGAGATGGAAAGGGAGGCAGAAAGAGCACAGGAAAAAATTTTAAAGAATCCATCCTGGTTTTTGTGAAGCTCAATGCAATGTGAGTGCGCAAAGTGCCTAGTCTGTCTCTCTCAAAATGCTAATTGTTTGTTTTTAATAAGTTTTAACCAAAGGGCTTTGAGACTTTAATTTAATCAAAGGTCAGAGCAGCAGCCAGCCATAATGGAGCTTGCTGCAATCCAAGTCACTTCAGTGACTTTCCCCAAATTACATTAAAAAAAGGAACTTTGTTGTTATTTATATTATCTTTTCTCTTAACCAAGCATAACCCAAGTACTTTTATGCTTCCTTTGGGAATGGTAATGCTTTCTCCAAACAAAACGGGAAAAGATTGTATTGTATGAATTGATATCTTAGCATGAAGATCTTCCTTGTCTGTCCCTGCCTACCAAGCGGCACATACATCTTTAGTTCTTAATTTTGGCCTTTGCAGACTGCTTTTGGGTTAAAACATGTTGTGGATCAAACTAAATGATGATTTAAGCAGCATGGTGAAAAACTATATATTTTTTACTCAGATTCCAATTTGAATTGAAGAACATCTGGATCTTTTAAGAACCCAAATGCAATGCCAAACCACCCTTGGTGAGCTCATATAAGCATGTTGATCTTGAAAGACCGTAAGCTTGGTCAGATTCAACATCGGCATAAAGGGCTCCACCCTTGCTGATAATTAGTCTGACACCCTGGTCAGTAATAAAACGATATGGACCGTTGAGTAAGAGAGATTGATTCATGGCTAAAATAAACGAGGTTTCCTGTTTTCTGTACATTAATTTCCCAATTCTAGGCTATGATGCCATTCCGATGCAAAAATGTCAAATGGATAAATCGAAGATAATGATTGCTAGATGTAGCAATTACTTGGGACTGAGGAGTTTCTTTCCGGGGTTGGACCCATTTTTATCAGTGGTCCATATCCTTGACTTGAGAAACAACACATGTGAACAGCTCATTTGAAGTTGAGATGTCCATGTATGCGTTTTCTTTAATAATTTGCCAAAGAAATTGTTAAGCAAGGTGAAATTTTTTCTTGTGAGCTACGTTTAGCCCCTCTAGTGGGAGATTTCTGAGGGCGTCATCACTTGCTTCTGCAACAATGATCAGTTTTCGTTTGGCACCCACCATCACAACTCACACGAATAAAATCTACTCCATCTTCTTCGGTAATGTCTCTTTCTGAAAATGTTTTTTTTAATCAATTATCAACGTCGAAGAAGAAAAACCTTTACATAATTACATCCACCCTTTTGGTGTTGTTCTAAGCTATCACTAAGTTGATGTAATTGTCATGGATGTAAAATATCATAAAGCTATACAATTATAACTGGTTTTAGTGGCATGAACTGTATATGCTTAATAGTACCATTATTTGCATATAATCTCCTCCTATAGTAGGGTGCCCACCCGGAAACCAAAATATCTTCATAAATCATGGGGCTGTTGCTATAGTGCTAGGGAGATTTCAGATGAAAAATATTTAACCAAAGGTGGAAAGAAAATCTAATTGGTAAACTGTGGGATGACAGATTAATTTATGATGCAATAATTATTGTCTTCCACTGACATGGACATGATGGACAAAAACGTATGATGCATTACTGTATGCATAAAGGTTAGACCGTCACTTCTTTCTTCCATGGCTTCCACTTAAGCTTGATTCTTGAGTTCCATTTGTGGGGTGTAAAGAAAAGAAAAGAAAAAATTTGCTGTTGTGCACCCAGCAAAGTGCAAAGACATCATTGGCAGCAAGAAGCAGCAATTAAAAAGACTTCCCTCATATCACTGTCAGCTTTTACGCCGATTCATCCCTGTTGTTTCACTGGCTGTTTCCAGCTTGTTCAATCTGTTAAAGGCAGATTTGTAACTTTTTGAGAATTTCAGGGTTTCCCTGTCAAATGCTAAATTCGGATCAGTTTTTGACAGTTTCTTCCTACACGCTTTGTTTCAGAGCCTCAAGTTGGGCCCTCCCCTTATGGATCCTAATTGTTCTCACTTCTTTGGATTACAGCTCAGAACAATTGGACTTGATGACCCAAAACATTAAACTAACCTAAAAGACAAAAAAGTCCACATCTCCCCCCCCACCCCCCCGCCGCCCTCCCCGCCGCACACACAGATACACACAAAGGACATGAAGCATGAATTGTGTTACCTCTAAGGTACATATTATTAAACTATGGGGACATGTTGCACTCTCAATTGTGCAATTATATCTGCCCATGGAAACAGGACAAATTTCAGTTCAGAAAAAGAAATAGTAAAAAAAAGGTTGGGAGAAAAAATATATAGAAAAACAAAAAAGAAACTTTGAGTAGTCCACGTGTTTAATTTAGATGAAATTTGTGAAATCATTTGTTGAAAATTAATTATAAAAATGAACTTGTGAAGGATTGTATGTGCTCTGTCATATTAATGGAGGAAAAAGTAAATCAACTTAGACCCACAAGCACATACATAAAATCTATTCGACCAACATCGAATCATGAAGCACATGCCATTAAATATATAGTTATATAAAATACTTATATTTATGTATTTATAATGTTACATTTAAACAAACCTATGTCACCTATCAATTGATGGATTTTTGTTTTTAATAAAATAATAATCAAATGAAAAGAAAGAATATATAAAAACATATTGATACTTTATTGCAATTCATCAACTGAAATAATTATTGTTTGCAAATTGATACTTGGATCGACTATCATTGCCCTCTTACAGCCGTTTAATTTAATGTTATTAGACAAATGTGTTTTGACTTTTGAAGATCTCAAAACCTTTTTAATTTGAGATAATATTTAACAAAATTTTTGAATTATTTAAGAAAAATTAAATAATTTCTATTTTTATTCTATTTAATTAATCACTTATATTTTTATTTTGAATCAAATAAATTTTTATAAAAATAAAAAGATTTAATTAAGCATCATAAAGGAAAATAATTATTTGAAGTTTTTTAAATAGTTCAAAATTTTTTTTAAATATTATACTTTTTAATTTCTATTGAAATTTGAAAACGTCTTTTGTACTGATGAACTTAATTGGACAATTCGATCACTATATATTTTTAGGAAAGAAAGGAGAGAAAGAGAATTGAGCATTAGGCCCGATTGTTCCCGAGTTACAAAGTTGGCATATATTGAGTTATTTAAATTTGACTCAAATGATAAAAGTGAGGTGAGACTTGGATAAAGAATTTAAGTCCAAATTTATTTTTTTTTTCTAAAAATAAAAAAGTATTAGGGATTGTCTACAACCATGCTACAACTTTTTTTCTTTGCTTTTTTTTTTTCTTTTTTTGTGGGGACATGTTGCAGCCGTTGTTTACTTGCTAGAGGGCTAACTAAAGCTTGATATAGCCATTGTTGATCATCCACTCGAGGCTCCAATGTCTGTTGACGTTCCTCAGAGTCCAGTAAGCCCAACCAAAAGTCGCCCTCCCGTAAACCTCTAATTGGGCCTTGGCGAACCTTTGGTAATCCCCTTTTGTGGCTTCACTAACGTTCAACTCAGCCACCCATTCACCTGAGTCGATTGTCATTGAATTAACTCACCAAATCACCATTATTTTCATAAAAAAAGTAATGAATATCATAACATTTGCAGGAGGATGATTCTTACCAACAAAAGTGAGAGGACCATTAGATGTAGTAATATGATTCAGCTGCGAGGACCGGTTGGTGTAGATAAAATCAATGTTCTGTTGGACCGTCAAGTTGTTGAACATGTCCTGGAAAAGATTGTAGTAATGCACATCGATAACGGATCCCCTTAACCCACTGGCCATTGGGAATAGCTCCCTTGGCTCCATCGGTCCTAGCCTATTCGACAACACTACAAAAGCTGTCAAAGAGTGCCGACGAACGGCGGCGTAACCGGCTTTGTAGTATTTGGTCACGCTCTCCAGTGTTGCTCCTGGGGAGAGAGGCTCGTTGATCAGCTCCACTGCATAAAGGCTTGGGCTCTTTGCATATCTATATTCACGGACCAAGATAAGGAATATTAAGCTAGAAACAGAAGGTTAGAGTTGGTTTGTAAAAGAGGAGTGGATTGCTTTGCTTTTACCTGGCTGTTAAGAATTCTATAACAGCAACCGTTTGGTGTATGTTTTCATCTGATTCGCCCCATTCCTGGGAGCCATCTCTGGAACCGCTGTGCTCCCAGCCATTTTGTGAACCAGGTGCAGCATGTAGATCAATTATTACTTTTAATCCATATTTCCTGCGAAAAGTACAAACCGCAAGATCAATGGGGAAAAAGCTTCGGCTTCAATATTTGGTAAATAGAGGTTTCTTGCAGGGATGAAAAAGGATGAACGTACTCTGCCCATAAGAAGGCATGGTCTAATGCTTGCAAGGAGCCCCCAACGTAAGGCGGGGGTGGCATTGGATCGCTGGCTATCCACCAACCAACTGGTATTCTCACGGCATTAAGTCCATTTTGTGATATAAATTTGAAGTCTTCTTCCACAATGAATGTTCTCCAGTGGTCCTGAGATATGCAATAACACATCAAATGATTTGTACTACGAATTTAGGCTGTTGGTTAGAAGCATTATCAAATTGCTTATCAAGATTGCTATCTAAAATGACATTTTTAATTATTGATCAATATCCAATAATTGAATTCCACGAATATATGAATATAATTCATCTTTTAAGCAGATGTAATATATTCTACTCGAAGAAGCATCTGTGGTCAACTTTTTATTTCTAAGATAGACGTGGTATGTATGTATCATCTGACTACGATTTTTCAAACAGTAATGAACCATGATTAGAGCAAGAATTGTTGCAACAATTAATTGAGATATATTTACTGGGATGCAAGTATTGCCGGTCCAAAGATCAGAGATCTGACACGTTTAGAACTGTTCCATCTCTCTTCGGAGGTCATCAGGTCAACAGCCAACCTCCATGATTTATTTTAAAGGTCAACAAGTCTTGTATCTTCTAAGTCAATTTTATCATGCACCACAAAGTATTGTTGGCCAAGTAAAATCTGCAAATAGTTGAGATTACAATTTGCATATACATGAACATGATCCCCTTTGTGGTTGACCCCATGTAGATTGATAAGTTAAGTTATTGATTGGTTTGATTTTTCATTTAGCAAGAAGTATGAAAATTAATTTTTTTCAAACTTGTCAATTATAGTAATTACTTTGAGAGGAAAGATTCAACTCCAAACTTTCATTTTTTAAGAAGTTATGTATCTTTTAAGATATTATTAGTATTAAATAAATTTTTTAAAATATAACAGACTTTTTATGATATTCCATGAAAATATTACTTTATATAATAATTTAAAAAATACCATTAAGGAACTCGTTAATCTGATTTTTTTTTCTCATGCATGACCAGCTATAATTAGTTGAAGAAGGTTATCATGAAGCTAACTTTTCATTGATAATGTCTAATTAAATGACCATCCCATTAACATTATTTTTAGTAACTAATCTTACTATTAATTTAATTTGTGTTCAGCTGTACTTACCCTCATGACTTGTGGGGCTCTGTCCGGGCCATAGCCATTAGTTACTTGAAACTCGCCCTCAAGCCGTCCGGTCATCTGCATCACAAATACTGATGGATCATCATCTCCCCACCCATTACCCCCTTGCGAATCAGCTGTCACCAGCTCTTCTGTTTTCGCCTGCGAATTAGATTATTCAAAGGGTGCTTCAATATTTTAAGAAAAGCATGATTTCATCTTTAATCCATGGAGTAGGGGAAGACCTAACAAACATATTATAGTTTATCAAGATGCCAATTCAACTTTGCCTAATTCGCCCCACCTCAAATCATGGCCAGATAGGAATAATTAATGGATCTATGTAATGGAGTTTGTTTGGTGGGGGGTAATTATAGTATGTTGATTAACCTTGCTATTATGAAATGAGAGCTATCTCAAGGTATACTTTAGACTTTTAGAGTTACAAAACAGAATATTCTAATTTCAATTGCAAATTGCAATTGTTTCAATGAAAAGTTATAATTCTACTGCATGTGCTAAATTAACAGTAATTATTATCCCACTTGCGAAATATGATTATGTTATTTTCAATTTTCAATTTTGTTACTATTGGATTATATTTTGAAAAGTCTAATTTGTCAAATTCAATGTATTTGTATTTATCACAAGAGAAACGTTTATGCAAATTAGATAACTTTTCAAACTAATCAATAATCATTAGATTATTACGAGATTTCCAATTGTCTTGATGGACTAAAGACTCTTTTGTCCAATAGTATTATTGACTTTTATTTTTAAGATTAATTAATTTATTCTTTTGTATAAAAAATGATTATTTTTTTAATTTGGCCTTCTTTTTAATTGCGGTAACGTTCATTACTTTGCCAACTTATGAATGATAATATAGTTTCGAGTTTATATAGAAAATTTCGATTTGATGCTCCGTTGGTCCCATTTGGTACGGCACAAATCTTCACCATACAATACAAGCTTAAATGATAAGAAAGACTTCTAACTTATTTCCTCTCTTGTTAGTGACTATGCCAATGATTGATCATTCTTACAAGATATTACTTATCCAAAATAATAATAGTAACAATAATAAAATGCAGAATGCTAAGAAGAATGGTTTTCAGACTGATATAAGGTAAAATTACCTGTAAGTAGTACCCATTTGGTGCTTTGATTCGAACCCGGTTCTTTTCATTGGAGTCCCTCACAATCTCGAAGGTCTCCGAATTTCCAGGAGTTTTTGAAACAGCTACCATGTCAATCCCATTTCCATTTGCGTCTAGTCCAACGAATTGCTTCTCAAAGACCCTAAAGTTAAGAGCTGTGCCATTGATCCTCCACAACTATCCATGGCAAGGGGAAAAGCATAATAAGATGAACACTGAACTTCTGAAACAACAGGAAAATTACTTGCATAAAACTTCAGAGACAAAAGGGTAGCTTGAGTTTACTCTAAAGGTTTCCCAGCCAGAAGCAGCAGTCCGGTTGGCAACTATGATACTTCCTCCTCCTAGCTCGGCGCAAAGATATTTTCCGGTTGTTACTGACTTGAACTGAAGCGCAGTTCCATCCTGAGGATCATATCAATGAAACAGAGAAAATGTAACTTGAGTTAATCATATGTTTTCATGAATAGTTGTGATAAAGGGACAGACAGCTCTAAGAAAAAGGTTGAATATCCAAACCAAAAAGTCCTTGTTCAAGATGCCATCAAAAAGAGTAGGTTTAATCCAACCTTCTGTCACAAGCCAACCTCCTAGATTAACTGCTCTAATCCGGAAATTTGGGTCTACCCTCCCCTGACAGAAAGATAAAACCAAAGACAGGAGGACACAAATGCTTAGTACATGCCTTGTTGAGGAGACCAACATTTTGATGTTTCTTTTGTTTTCACTTTCATATGCCGGCCTCTAACGTGAAGCTGCATATATACACACACACACACACACACACAGAGACAAGCAGAAAGTAAATGGCAGATGCTGGAGCTGGGAGTCATAATCTAGAAGCGCTGAATGTTGACCAAATAGAAGAGTTGAAAACGGCTGTACCTGCACTATATGGATCAAGAATCTCTGCATTGTATCTTTTGCAAATGCACAGGTCTTATTCACTTAACTTAGTCTAAGAAAAATTATGTTTAATTAGTCTCATTTTGCTGTTACTCCAAATCAAAGCATTCTAAAGGCTGATATCCAAGTTTTTTTTTTTTCCAGTCAAATCCAATATGATAATGAAATGAAATAACAATAGTTTTTTTTAAGTCAAAAAGAGATGCTCAATAGGATATATTTTGTAGCATTATAGACCGATCTCTGCTTGATCATGAACGGCTGTTTTGAACTGAATTTGTATATAATATTAATAACATGCATTAGACGTGACATTCATAGCTGGCTATTGTTATTGCTCTTTCCCCAAGTCACTATTCTCATGGACTGAACGCTTAAAATATTGGAAGGGGAAAAAATTATCAGAAAAGGTGAACAAGTACTTTGACGAAATAGAATGTTCTAAACGTCAGATTATATATTGATGATAATGCACGGTGGCGGTTCTGGTGACAAAAGCATGCTTCCATAAGTTAGCTTCTAGTTACTAGTTATTACTTCCACAATATCTTATAAGCCGCCACGGATGATTCAGAGGGAAAACAGCAAAGAGGGTTGATCACTGGGTTAATCGATATGGTGTTAGTGGAAGCCCGCATGTCCATTGTGGGGTTCAAGATGAACGAATGATAACAAGTTGACAAGCACATAACTCTGGAAGAGTTGCATTTTTATTTAGGACACTGAATTGGATCATCTCCCACTAAAATCAGGGGACTTTAGCCACTAAAAGAATAGCAATCATTAACCACCTTAAAAACTATTGCTTTGTTTGCCACTGATAACTCTATTATATAAAGTTACCATAAGTATCTTTAAAGTTTGAATTTTGCTAAATCTTCTAGTTATTTTTTTTATCCGTCCAGACCCACCAGCAGGTCAGGATGGTGCCGGCCCACCAGATCCACTCTTTTGATGTATTGAACTACTGAAAATTTTAATTTCCCTCCTAAATATTTTGGAGGGAAATATTTGAGAGAAAATTGGCTATAAATAATCCCTTGTACTTTGTGTAATTCATTCAATTCATTCAACAGAAGTTTAGTTTTTCTTTTTTCAGCATTCTCCTCTCTTTTTCTCTTTTTCTTTTTATTCAAGTTTGCTTACCGGCTTAAAGCCATTGTGTGGGTGTGCGAGTGTTCCGGTTGACCGAAAAACAGTGGGTTGCGTGTGGGCGTGCTGAGTGCTTGCTGGGCGGGTGCTGAGCATCAAAAAGCTGATTTGGGTTCCAGTACCAGGATAAGGGTTGAACCCAAGGCCGCACGGAGGGTGGTCTGAAGAATCGCCCCGTTAGTTTCTAGTTTTCTTTTTAGAATTAATTTAACTTATGTGATGCTAAGTTCCATTCATGCAAATTTAGCTTAACTTCTTGTCAAAATCCCTCAATTCAGCCTCTGATTATTTAATCCCTTAATGTTGAAGGACATGTAAAGACTTGGAGCATGAATGTAAAGGAGGGTGCAATTAGGCTTAAAAGCAATCAAACATATTGAAGTATTTGAGGCATAAATTGAGTTGTAGAAGTCCGATCGAGGTGAATTTGGAACTAGTGGAAAGCCAAGAGGATGAGCTACAACTTTGATGTTTAGCATTTGGCCAAAATCAAAAGGAATCATGACCAAAAATGAAGTTGAAAGTGAGGTCTAGAGCAACTCTACACAAGATAGCTTGAAGCATAAAAACAAAGAAACAGAACCTCCAGTGCTGCAGCACCAAGTTTCCAACGCTGCAGCACTGTCCAAGTCAGATAATAAATATTCCTGCACAGGTTTTTAGGTCAAGCAGAAAAAAAAAAGGGGTATAAATAGGAAGTTTTGCACTAAAAAAAAAGATTTTGGAGAAACCATTTTGGGCAAAAGGAGGCAAGAACAAAAAAGGAAAAAGAAGATGAATCAAGAGCTAGAAGATTCAAAAGCTGCAACAAATCATTTTCTCACTCTAAATTTGATTCTTTCTTTCTTACTCTTCTTGTAAAACAATGTTTTTATTTGTTGAAATGTGTACTTTCCTTTTGAACATGTTAAGCTAGAGTTTTTAATCTAGGAT